TATCGAACTCTCTTCTCAATATGAATTAATAATATGTAATACTCCGTTGTCTTGGTTCAACATGTACAAGTAAGTCTATCGTTAAATACAGATTCCCAAGGCTCTAGTGATGCAGAACTCCCAGTGATCTAGCGACAACCAGCCACTCAATTATCGCAAGGTAGCATTTCCGAGCCACTGCATTTCAGATACCACCGAACCTTGTGTGGCCCAGCTAAGCTTATCCACATGTAATCGAATCAATCCAATTGATCTTGATGATCATACCAAGAAATCTAAGCCTTCATACATACTGAGTCTAGATTTCCAACAAGTTGTTGTCGTATATAGTCGACGGGGAAGGGCTAGCCTTCTCCGTGTCACGCTCTTCGAGTGCAGGGCTTTCAGCTAACACGAATAGATATTCATTCAACAGAGACTTTTGTGAAAATCTGATCCAATCTATTGAGTAGTCTGGGTCATAAGTACCCAATGTAGCAAATGACTCACTTACGCCAGAGTTTAATTCAAACATTACATTTCCCAAGGGTTTCATACGCTAAATTGTTAGAAATAGTTATGGGTCCGATGAGTAGGGCGGCTCAAGGAGTATAGACTCAAATTTGGGAAAAAATTTGTTATTTTAATTTTATTCATTGTTCTGTCGGAGTCTATGACTATGTAAGACATGCAGGTCCTCTCTGCCTACAGGTCAAGAACCCCCATCTACTAGTATATCCCCTCCTATGCCTCTCATGTAGCTACCCTCAAATAGTACCACCCCTCACAAGCCCTCGTTCGATCATATACTTAGAGGAGTCCTTTGACCTTCATCATCTCCCCTCACCAGCCAGCGAAACGGTGGCCATTTGCCGGTGTATGGCAGCCGGAAAAAATCGCATAAACCACTGGGTGCGGAGCTCTTCTAACACCAACATTAGGAATAAATCCGAAGACATATTGCCCCTTCTGAAGCGTTCGAAGAGGCCGGCCAGCTGAGCACTGCAGACTTGTGTGTACCCAGGGAATTTAACACTTTGCCTTTCTAGCCTCCTTCCAACTCCTTCCCGAAGGTCGTGCTGAAATGTCAGAGAAGTCTCGACAGAGCATGATTGCTGTATGGTAGCCTAGCCTAACTTCTTTTGTGCCGTCCAGGGCGCTGGGGGGTGCCGTTGACTCATCGACAAAAGAAGCCCTCCTGGCTAATTGGCCGAAATCTCGGTCTTGGCGCCCACAAAAATTCTAAAGTTGAAAGCCCCTCGAAAATGTCAGTCCCAGCTTGGTCTTCAGAGACCTGTTCCCCTCTCGCTCCCCTTCTCAGCCGCCTGTCCTTCCTCAAGATTTATAACCCCATTAGAGCATCAGTCTCCCATAAACCAAGACTCCAACTTTGTATTTTTTGACTTGATTTCCTCCTTGCGGGTATACGTAGCGTCGTAAATGTGTAGTGAGAGATGGCTGGAAATTAATGAGGCAAGCTCCTGTTTGCAATTGGGGTGACGCCTTTATCGGTCGTCGAGGCGAGATGATATGTGGTTAGAAAGAGGTTGAGGACTCTGAGGATAATGATGAGTGCTGCATGGTTGAGAAGTCGTCAAATGGAGATATACTTGAGGTTGCTTTCGACCTCGATTCGGACGTGATTTACTTGGCTATCCTAGACGAGCTGGGCAGACTGAGCGATTACACCGGTACCACTGGATGCTGAAGAATTCGTCTTTGCCGGCCTCAGGCGCCTCGTTAGGGGTAAATAAATAAATTATCCATTATCCTGGTTTGGCGCTTAGAGGCCCATGCAGGTTTTTATCGGAAGATGTGTACTTTAAGTAGGATCACTCAATTTGACGTTTAGAACACTCACACTCATATTTCCTTTACAGACACCACTCGAGGTTAACCCTCACGACGTATAACCTCTTCCGTGCAAACCCACCACAGGGAAAAGCGTGGGAAACCCGTGGCTACCCGAGTTTGCTTTCATCATCCCACTAGTACAACATCATCGCGGGAGAGAGTGGTGTGTGGGTCCTACTGGTGTCGAAGCAGCTTTCGTCTGTCTCGAATGGGATAAGTGTTCAAGCCAACTAGTAGCTACTCGGGAGAACAGCCCGAATGGTGTACCACTGCACCATCCAACCCTCTTGCTAGGGGTAGGAGTAGATATTACAGTGCTACGATGGACACGTAGCGTGAAAAAAACAAATCATTCATTCTTGTATTCGCTCTTACCTTTTGACGATTCACGTGACATTCATATAAAGACCTCTCTAGGTTTTACAGATATCAATATGAATCAGATGTGTGTGTTCCTGAGCGACGTCAACTACTTCAAGCAAGAATCCAAGGGTTAAAAGGTAGTTGAGCCAAGCAGCAAGGCCCTGTCTACAAATCACGTACACGTTGTTTGTGCAAGGAGGGCAGGACTAAACACCTGTACGCGGTCTCCTCGGCGAACCTGGGGGTGCAGTTTTCTCCCAGAACCAAGTTCAGTCAAATTTCACAATATGAAAGAATTTGGCCCACGAGGCAGTGATTCAAATTACTCTACAACGTCGTTTTCTCGCTCCCAACGAGTTTGATGCCAACCTAAGTCTCACCAAGTTGACAAGAACGACCAAGTTCATCCTCATCCCAATTACCACACCTCTCATTGACTTTCTCTGGTCTCAGCTGGTCACCCAACACATGTCCACGCCGATATTTACACCCGACGGAGGAAACAAAGCTTAGCGCACAAATTTGGGGGACAGTTCTTTGGAATAGACTCGAGAGAAATTAGGACAAATTTACCATGTGATGTGGAGGATGGATTAGATACCGAAGCGTGTGAGATTTCGCGTATTGGCAATGAGATTAACAAATTGAAGAGCACTCTGCGCGCCAGGCTTTCAAATACGAAAGCGCAGTTGATACTATCACACTTAACCAACGATGATAGCTGCCAAAGTCTGTCTCCTCGTGATATTTTTCGGTATGGTTTGAGTAGCCTGGGCACCTAATCCACTTGCAAAGGAGACACTTAAGACCATATTTCGTGCGGAGAATAGTCCATGGATGATGGAGGCATGTCTGGATAACTCAGGGGTTTTGAGACGTTTCCCTGGGTGGGTATTCACGGATGAGGGTTGACTTGGGGTGAAGAAAAAGCCGCCATAACTTCGCAGTGGTACTTGCAAATGAAATCCGAGGCATGAGTGCTCTTCCTTTACGTTGAGTCATCTATTCTGTACTTTTCTTTGATATTGTGTCATTGCTAGATAGCTGCATACGCATTTAAAATCTGATGCAGAAAAAAAGTTTGTGCAATTAAACCCATATCAAAATGCCATGAGTGATTCCATAGTGCCAAACCGCCGTAGATTTTCTAATCCAACTCTAAATCTGAACACCAGACCCCGCGCCACCTGACAAGTGACAAAGTGAGCAAATCGAATTGCTCGGTAGAAAACAAAATGAATTACTCCGTCATAGTGATTTCTTGACAGCTTGCAAACATGTATCCCTAGTAAGCCAAATCCAAATCGGATACCATCCACTAGGCCTCGATCCACACTCCAACAGTGACAATGAATCGCACAACTGTACAAACCATGAGTATGAGAGCAGGGTCAGTGGATCAGAGTCTATCCCATGGCTATCACAACATTCCATGCTCCGTTCAAGTCTCGCGCATCAGACACACTCGGTATAGGGGCGTCGGGGGCTGGATGGTGCAGTGGTACACCATCCGGGCCGTCCTCCGAAGCAGATACTGGGTAGCTTGAACACCTACCCCATTCGAGACAGGAGAAAGCTGGTTCGAATCCAGTAAAACCCACCCACCACACTTTCTCGCCGTGATATTACACTTGTAGGATGATGAAAGCACACTCGGATAGCCACAGGTTTTTCACGCTTCTCCCTGTGGTGGGTATGCACGGAAGAGGTTACACGCCGTGAGGGTTAACCTCGAGCGGTGTCTGCAAATGAAATCTGAGTGTGAGTGTTCCAAATGTCAAATTGAGTGATCCTACTTAAAGTACACATCTTCCGATAAAAACCTGCATGGGCCTCAAGGCGCCAAATCAGGTAAAAAGAACAGTATGTATATATAGGCGCGTCGAAAGTCTCGGTTGGAGTCACGTGCGAGAATTATTGTTATTGTAATATTAAAGAAACTGCACACACAGCGTCTGAAGTTCCAACCCATACCATCAACGGATGCGAGACGACGATAATTCTCCAAGGTCGATGTTGTGCTCTACACAATTGATTTAGGGATTGTAATCCTCTGACCCTACAAGCCACATGAAGATGTTTTACTTGCATGGGTATTTGATATGGCCAGAGAAGTTTCCCGCTTGATTACGAGCCAAACGTCTAGAAAATATGTGCATGATTCTATAGCTCTACGCCCGTTCGGGAGATAAGAGAGCGATAGGAGATGGGAGAATCTGTGGTAGGGCACATGGGACGCGCATAAAATGCCTAAGATCAAAGCAAATCCAAAAATCCCAGAATCACTGAAAAACGAACGGATTCTAATTTCTTGACCAGAATTAACATATGAGAGTAATATGTTGGCCAGATTAATTTGAAATTTCTACCGATACTGACACCAACGGGTGACTTACGGCTACAGTGGATCTTAAATACTTTTGTTTCAACGAGATCACTATCTATTTGTCAATCTAATAGACTCAGTCAGGATGTTTGAGAAAAGAAGTTCTTGTGCGTGTCTCTCAAGCTATGTCTCATCTCTATGTATATACATCACATCCCCCAAACTCCCATCTCACCCTTTGTCCTTGATCTAGACTACTTCACTTTTGAGTTCTTTGAAAATACCACCTCCCTTCCCGGCTTTCCACTAACTCCGATACATAACTCAAGTGAATACTACCTTACAAATTCATCAGAATAAATAGTCATAAATTGACTAACATGTAACCTAAATAAAAGGAAATTCTGCTCAACACTATTTGACTGGCTGACATTATATTTTGCAACCCAAGTAGGAAATTGAGAGGTATTGGCTGATATTATGACAACATGACTGTCGATACATGATCCCGATGAAATAGATTCGATTTTTGGTTGAAGCAACCGGTGAAAAATATGTACAAGCGCCTAGATAAAGATCTATGGCTGAGCTGACTTATGAGACGGTAGGTTGGTTGGCAGCTGGAGTTGAAGCTATAGGTAAGTTCGAATGTCATGGAGGACGTTAAGAATTTGATTTTTCTGGGGCGCGAAATCTCGAAAAGACTCGAGCAGGTTTTATTCCTTAACATATCTAACATGAATGGGTAAAAATCGGGGTCTTCTATAGGGACGTCCGAGGTTCATTTGAAAGACGAAGCTCCTATATCTTTTTGATGTGAGACTGATCAGGATTGCCGGAGGATAAGTCAACCAGACTTGAAAATATTAGTGACTCAGGGAATAATGGTCGTGATTCGGCATCCAAATTTCTGGAAAATTTAATTATTTTCTAGACCATGACTATTCTGAAGCTGAAACTAACCCAAAGTCTGCGCCTATTTAATTCGTGCGTATAGAATCAAAAGTCCTGAAATTTCTAGAAGTTAGATTTGATTAAGGAGGCTGGCGATTTACGGGCCACATTTTGTAGTGTAAGAGGTAATATATGCTGAGGCCTCAGTATACACGTCATATGGCGTATATAATTTTCGTGTAAACAATATCTTGGCTCATTACTGTAGTGTGACATTTAGGAAGGTCCATAGATTTGAAAAAATTGAAATGCGCTCAAGGCGGTAGGCTCAGCCCAAGCTTGCGTGGCTCAGATCTACCCGGTACGGTACTTTCAGTATCACTTCATACCTTCCGAACTCTATAGCTAGGAAAAAGCCGTATATATCAATATGAGACGACCAGGTAACATATCCAAGATATGGTGAGATTTGGAACGTGTCTGGCTCTTCATCGTCAAGGCTCATTATCTTGATATCACCAAAGATGAAGACGAGGTACAGAAACTTTTTTTCAAAGTATATTGGCGTGATATTGTAAGGTGAGTCAAGTACTGTTTCGAGGGGCAGTTGTACATTACCGTTGACGGTAATCGGTGCCTTGTAGCTGTGACTATAGCTATCATATTTTCCCTTAACCCGAACCAGCTGCTGCCTGACAAGGCTCAGTATTATCCTGGGCGTACAAGGCTCTACCCTGCCATCCATGATTCTTGACATGGAGATGGGAATTTTTTTGCTAGTTAACTTTTGGAGGAGGGATAAGCATTTCCTTGAGGCAGTTAAAGAGACTGGCAACGGAATATTCCTACCCAAGTCATCTATCCTCCCGATCTGCTGATCGAGATACTTGTAAACATCGCCAAGAGTTGTCCACTCGGCTTCGCAAATTTTCCCCAGGCTAAAACTTGGATTCTGAATTGGGATTGCTTTGTAATTGATATGGAGTAAATTTTGGGAAAAGAAAGCTTCGCGTGATCCTGAGATTTCGTGGTAACGCACATAATAATTTTCTTTGAGGATAGGCAGGTTGTTCAGGAGATAAAATGTGGTCTTTAGGCCTTGGTCAATGGATAGCGCGTAAGTGAATAAGTAGATACAGTACATGGTTAGGCACGTAATGTCGGAGTCAGAATTAGGGTTTGAGTCGAATGTAGAAGGTGGATAGATATGCCTGCGAAACGTGAGGCCCTCGAAATCTAGAAGACAAAAGCAGTATGGGAAATCGGAAGTAAGACGAGCACACGGGATATGTGAGTGAGAGCATGATTGCACTCATAGACTCATAGTAACGAATAGAGCATAGGCATTAAGAAACTTTCACTGCTGGGCCCAGTGCTAGTCATGTCGAGCAAAGTGGAGAGTCTTGATAGTGGTTAATGGGAACATCAAGCTAGCGCATCATTCTTGAAGGACCGGTAAGGGTGAGGTTGGGCGTGCAGGCCGACTTTTGAGAATATTGTCTACTTCCTGGCGCAAGGGCCCGGTGAAATTGATGCTCCCGTGAGCTGTTTGGACCCGGCTGGTCGTAGCTTGAACTGGACATGGTGACCAGATAGAGTACCGCTTTCGCTTTTGTCCTTCGAGAGTCGCCTCTGAACACGAGTGCAGCTGAGAAGTTTCAGTCGCTCAGCTGGGCCACTGTCGTAAAGAAATGGATGCGTTGCTCGGAACTTTCGAGAGAAGGCGGTCCAACCTGCAGGATTATGCCGTTGCCAGCACAGGGATAGCGGTAGTAAATCAATGCAGAACACGTGATCAGATGCCAAGAGTATAGCTTAGAATGTAAAAATCACTCAAGCCGCGTGCCCCTGGGAATGAAGGTATCTTATGGTGAACTAATGTTGGATGGAAGGACTCACAATCTCTTCCTTCGCAGCCTTATCTTAATTCAATGTACAGCCTACGAGAGTAAGCTCAAACTACTTGTAAATCACAGGTAAAGTTCCTGGTAAAGGGAAACTTGCTACATTAAAATTGGAAAGCAGAGTGGCGGATAGCTGTTTGTTTGTTCATTAACGTGCGAGGTAAAGTAACGGCGGTCAGCTGGTTGGGCTGTCGTAATTTCTAGGTGTTGTAGGGCGCGCTGGACCGTCCAGAATGTGACAGTAATCACTAGCTGTGGGCAGGCACGACGTTCAGTTCAATCAAAATCGAAATCACTCAGCCGCAGCACAAAGCTGGGAAGAAGGGTATCATTGACTTCTTTCTGCAAGGTGTAGATTCGCAGAGTAATTTTCTTTGGTTTGGTTTGGTCTGGGCTGCTGGGCCTGTCATGAACCACCATTTGGACAGGTTTCGACGCTAAGGAGGATCTGATTCGCTCCGGCCCGATTTGTGCTTAGGTCCCGCTAGGAGCATGAGTTGATTTGATCCCTTTAACGCACAGGAAAATCCCTTCATTCATTGGACCTCACACGTAAAGTGGAAGCTTTGGGTGTCGCCGGATCAATTGATGTTGGTACACAGCAGAGCAAGTACAGAATAAAATCAGCTAATTAAAGATATCTAGGGACGGAAGGTTTTCTACATCTTGCTATTTACCCAAGGGATTGCAATTAACGACGCCGATCATAACAGTCTCAGTTGCCGAGCAACCGTATCCAATCTACACCCTTGGCAGTCTCTATAGCTCACTAGACCCTAGAATCCATCCCTACCGTACTGGCGCAGACCGTACTCACACAAGGGAGTATTCCCGTAACATTAGATACCAGATCTATCTACATGACCGATCCTCGCGGGTGAGTTGCTACAAAAAGAGAGGTAACTACAGAGAATCCCGAATTTCAGGGCCCGACGCCGCAATCTTCTTCATAAAGATGCCAAAAATGTATAGAGCTGTGCCATTGTTAAAAACATTTATTATTGTTTGACGTGATTTAAATTAGCTCTTTTAGCTACCCAATGGCCCCGTGAAGGTATATCTAGCTATAGTATTTACACAGGAGGAAACCTATTTGGTGAAAGCTCAGCAAAACTGTTTGTCTAATATCTATTGGATTTTCTGAGGTTTACTACAAGAAGTCCTTTTAAACTGTTCATGTGGTGTGATATTCGTCCAATCTTTGTTTACATCGTCTCATCTTTTCGTCCAATGCTATTTCTACTTCTCCTGCAAGCCGGAACTATTCAAACCAGCCTTCTGCCAGCATCCACTCTATTATTCTCTCCATTTCGTCTAGGCTGTTCATCATTGCCGTAGAGGACCCATCTTTTGCCTGTCGAAGCATCTTTCCTCTTTCCCTTGCCCACTGAGAACACGCCAAGACCATTTGTTTAATATTTTGCGACGAATGTCCAGACTAGCATTTTGCATTAATCACTCCGGACACTTTCCTTCAATAGAGATGAAATTGAGACCGATGTGCTCACTTCCCATCTGAACTGCAATACTGTTCTGTCCCCTGCTAGGGTTCCAGTGGATATTTAAGTGTTTGTTACTATGGGTAATCCGTTTTCTGCCGGTTCTCTTGCCTCTCACTGTGTTTGCGGCTTTCCAATTTAATTATCGTTTAATGCCAAATATAGTTCCTATTTACAGATCTATACGGGTGTAAGACAGCAAAATTTAGGGAGAAATTAAAGTAAATCCCATCTTACTACCGCTGGTGTACAGCCTAGCCCCATGATCAAGTGTAGTGGAGAATAATGGATCATGTGATAGCCTATACATATATATTTAGTTAGTCCACTTAATGAAATCTTCATGCTTTTTCGCACATCATCAAGGAATCCTTAAATTCTTCAAACTCTCATATCTCCACTTTTTTCATTACCTTGTGTATCTAGGTCAGGTGATGCCCTAACATCTAGTGTCGTTTTTTTAGGCAAACTTGCATTAGCGTATTTGTAGGATTAGGGAGTTTTTGCATGGGAAACAGGAACCCCACATACACCCAGACTCTACCACTTGACAGGCATTCTGTGATACAGATTACAGACGTGCTTTGAGTTGGAGGTCACGGGTGTTATCCCAAAAGCACAAACTCCTCCATCGATGAAGAGTGGTCAAATTTTAGTTTGTGAGTTTCAGCGAGTACCGGTCTCTCGTGGTCAATTTGATTTGCAACCCTGAATCTTTCGACGCGGTTACCAGCAATACGCATACGAGGTGCAGCTCAAATTCTCCGCGGAATGAGCAGTATCATATCCAAGTCGATGGTTCTTTTGCCAAGGAATATCCGACTCTGGAGCACTAGACAATTACGGCTGTAGCGGGATATATGTTTAACAATTTGGAAATTCCCTCCATAGTTAAACTTTGATGCAAGGCCGAGAACCTGGGCAGAGGTAGTGTCACGAAATAAGTCGTGATCTAAACAATCAAACGAAGTTAGCCAAGTCTATTCTGATTATCTAGAACAATGATATCGAAAAGATGTATCCACGGTGCAGTTAAGGGTTTACAGCGGTGTTCTCTGGTATAGTTTGAGTAGTCAGGCGCCTACTCCACTTGGGAAGGAGACACTAAACACCATATTTCGAGCTGAGAAATGTGAACGGATGATGGAGGCATATCTGGATAACTCGGGGTTTTGAGAAGCTTCCCTAGGTGAGTATGCACGGATGATGGTTGACTTGGAATGAAGAAATGGTGGTGCTTGCGAATGAAGTCCGAGGCATGAGTGCTCTTATTGTAAATTGAGTCATCAACTATACACTTCTCTGATATTGTGTCATAGCTAGAGAGCTGCATACGCAAATAAAATCTAATGCAAAAAACAAAAAAACAAAAAAAAAGACTTGCCTAGTTACGAGCCGTGCACTGAGAGGTTTCTGGGCGCGCGTTGTGTGCCTAGTAAATGGTGGGTGTAAGAATGAAATGTTATCACGCGGTGTCACGTGGCTCCTAACTACAATGGATATTGTGTAGGGCTTGTGACTAATACGTGAATTCTATAGCCTTCAAGTGTCGGATGTCTATGCGCCCATGTACATTAACCCGCTGTTACCCCTCAGCTCCAGTGAGATCAGCTCTTATGGCTGTGCGATCTGATAGTGTGAGATCACAAGACACTAGCATCTTGTCTATGTGCCGTACATCCAAAATCTGATCAACCCGTGGTAATGTAGATCTTTTCAGGATCCACAACCATCTGGACGATAGACGCGTTACTTGTTATTCACTGTGTGATGTAAGCGACGGTTCGTAGAGACCATCTGTCCAGTGAAGGAGTAGTCATTCTTTGATGACTCAAATCAATGACCGAGTACTTCTCATTTATACGAGGGAATGAGACACGTTTAGAATAGAGTAGATAATTGGAACACAGTTTGGTGGATAGGGACTTCTATAAGACCCACCTCATGTCACCACTGTGGGATATCAATTCAATACTGATTCATCTACGCCTTGAATTTGCTGTGCGATGCCTCTTATCAAGTTATACAAGTGATCAGAGTAGGTATATTTTAATATATGGCATATAAACTCCATTTTAGATTCGCTTGTGTGAACAGCCAGCGTGGTAAGTTCTTTTAATGATGGCCGGTAATTAGTGAGGCAAACCCCGTTTGCAATAAGACTAACGACTTGATAAGTGGTAGGATTGAATCGGAGGAATCGCGCGAGAATACAAAATGATTAAAAAAAGAGATATCTTTTAATTACAATCCTCCTTGAACCAATAAGATGTCTTCCCTAAGAGACCAATTTCAATTTACTCTTGTAATATAATACTACGATCCTTTTCTATTCTCCCACCGGATTAAAACGTTTCTTACTAAATTTAAATACACGTACCATGTGGAAGATTAACACTGCTCTCCCACGAGGCCCCACAGTCCAGTCTCTTGAGCCACCTCAATAGCACTCGGACCGACAGTCATTCCACCAACCCAGATTTCAGCTTACCTACAGTATTCGCTGAGGTCCTTAGTTTGCGACTCCCGTCACCAATATCATGCACTGCCACTTCCTGGTAATCTCTTCGCTCTTGGAATCAAGAATAGGAGATACATTTCAATTTAACATCATCAAACCATTTCAAGAGGGCAGCACCGGTCATTATATCCGCTATGAGGGACCACCGTACTGGTCATTCGAGACTCCACCAGACGTAACATGCGCGAAGTTATCGAACATTTCGAAGAATCATATTATTTATAAGTTCTGCGCGGAGAGAGAGGCGGACCTTTCATCCCTCGAGAAACCCTTTGAAGATACTACCTATCGCAAAAATGAAAAGATTAGAGGTACACTAGAAGAGGACCAATTGTATAAGGAATGTTCCCGGCAAATTCACAACCAAAATTTTGGAATAACTTTACTAAATGTGTCTGCAATCAGTAAAAACAGAATACCTCCTTGTACCGTTCAAATGATCATCTGGGATATCTCGCATCGTCGTGCCCGAGCCTATGGCCCTTACGGAAACTATAGTCATAAATCTAGCGCCAAAGTCTCCCTTAATTGGGACCTTTTAATTCCCTTTCATGAGTTCTTGGATCGGAAAGATCCCCTGATGACCACAGAGGTACTGGGAGAGCTTACACATCTTGTACATGTCGCCGGATTTCTAAAGCTGGTAACTCGTAAATCTTTGGAGAAGGCTTACAAGATTTCTCCAGCTCTTGGAAATCCACCCGGAAACGAAATCTACGAGTTTTTGGAGAATTCTCATAATTTCAAGATAATTCCTCCACTCGAAGTTGATGTTACTCGGTAATGAAGGTCAGCTATGAAATTGTTGTCATCACTTAGTTGTGTATTTGTAGTTTCAGTCTGAAATTGGTTTCATTATCCTGATCTGACGCCCCGTGGGCCCATGCAGATGGCCATAGACCTATCTACATATTTACATGGGAAAATTTTCGGTGAAGAGCTCCCCAGCTTTCTGATTTAATCCTTGAAGTTTGCCATCTATCCTTCAGGAAGCACAATTACACTGTAACGCCGTTCATGTATACCAATCAAGTCTCCCGTATCGACCCCAACTTGTGTCCGTTCTATCTTGTTCCCTAAGCAGCATCTCGACTACACTTATCATGCGGATTTGTTCTATCCAACCATGACTAAGTATCCATTTCGTAAGTGTTTTCATTGCTTCAAAGGAGAGTTTTCGGGCTTTTCTCCAGAACTCTCCTCTACCGATTGATCACTTAGGGCAGGACATGACCATATGCTTGGGGTTTTATATAGGGAAATGGTTAAAGTGTCCTTTGCAGCTATTGATGGTGATATGAATTAAGAGGATGACTGTGATCGGGATAGATTTCTATATAGTTATGCATGATATACCCAGGCTCATATACCTTGGTCCAAGCACCTAGATTGTGTTCCTTCAGATCTAGATTCATCAGAATGATTACTTACTCAGTAAAACCTTCCTAATCTCAGTTGTGTGTTTAGGACCTTGATTAGGTTTCTCGTGACTAGCCAGCGATGTTTCTCCTATCACCGAGACAATGTCATGGTCTAGACAACAAGTACAAACGACGAATCATGTCCATATTTCACATTTGATGATAGGTAGCCACACAGGCAACATGGATAGTAGACTCTTGGTGTATTCCTTCGGAGTAAATACGAATGAAGCCCGATGCGCTCGCTTCGAATTTGGATGACCAGGCTGCTTTGGGCTTTTGTCAGGTTTTGATGTAGTGGGTATGGGTTTACCCGCTGCCGGTTGTCTAAGTTGACCTGCGTACCTAGCCCTGCATATAATCAGGACTTGGTGAAAGACTGGGCTTTTCTGCATAGAGCAAGATCTTTAGAGGGCAAAGACTGAACACCTGTACGCCGTGTCCTCTACGAACCTGAGAGTGAAATATTCTCCCCGAGGCAAGTTCATTCAAATTTCGCAATATCAAAGAAGTTGGCCCACGAGGCAATGATTCAAATTACTCCTCCACGTCGTTTTTCACTCCCAAAGAGATCGAATCCTACCTAAGTCTCATCAAGCCTACAAGTACGACCAAGTACATCCTTATTCCAATGACCACACCGCCCTTCGACCTTTTCTGGCCTCAGTTGACCACCAAATAAACGCTCACGCCGATATCTACACCCGACGGAGGAAGCAAAGCGTGGCGCACAAATCTAGAAGACTGTTTTTTGGGATGGACGTGAGAGGGATCAGGACAAGTTTACAAGATGATGCAAAGGAAGAATATAACATCGAAGGGCATGGAGTTTTACGAATTGGGCTTTGTGCGCGCCAAGGCTTCGGCTGCGAGAGTGCAGTTGACACTATAAACACAAGTCAACGATGGAAGGTGCCGTGGTCCGCCTCTTGGTGGTGTTCTCTGGTATGGTTTGAGTAGCCTGGGCACCTAATCCACTTGCAAAGGAGACACTTAAGACCATATTTCGTGCGGAGAATAGTCCATGGATGATGGAGGCATGTCTGGATAACTCAGGGGTTTTGAGACGTTTCCCTGGGTGGGTATTTATGGATGAGGGTTGACTTGGGGTGAAGAAAAAGCCGCCATAACTTCGCAGTGGTACTTGCAAATGAAATCCGAGGCATGAGTGCTCTTCCTTTACGTTGAGTCATTTATTCTGTACTTTTCTTTGATATTGTGTCATAGCTAGATAGCTGCATACGCAATTAAAATCTGATGCAAACAAAGCAAATCTGAGACTTAAAGGAAGGGAAAAATCCCTTAAGATGAAGATGTTGAGGGCCTAGGCGCCTAGTGTGTTGTTGTTGTTGAATTTTTTAAGTCTCAAGCTGAAGTAGGAAGCTCTACATCCTACTATCGGTACAGCGCTCAGGGAATCAATTCTGAGGGTTGACCCTGCACTTCAAAACGACGAAATAGCAATCGAGCCTTTTTTAGACTGGACATCTATCATGGTACCTCATATCCCAATTTTTATCAGCGCATTAGAAGGAAGAATTGAAGTAAGCAGGAAAATGGTGAAGACAGAATGCCAGGCAGTTTGTGGGGTCACACCAATACACGTGCGCCCAAACTACAAAATATTAGGAAGCTATTCCGTTTGCTGGATAGTACACTTCAAAAAAATGCCATTAAACCTCCGATTTAGGCTTTTTGATGAAAGTGGGCCAGCTATACCGTTCTCCCGTCGACGCCCCATCAAGCATTGTCAACACTGCTGAGGTTATCACTCAACAAGGAACTGCGTCAAAGGACAGCGATGCGAAAAGTGTTCTGGCACTCACGAAGTAGCAGAATGCACGGCAAAAATTCCCAAATGTTCAAACTGCGCTGGACCGCACGAGTCAACCCACCTGGGCTCCATGGCTCGGCCAAGCTACGAGTTATCCGAGACCGAGTGCATAGAGATTTAAAGGCAGTATTCTTAAGATCAGAAGAAAAAGGTAAGGCCAGCGAGGTCTTTTTTTTTCTTGCATCAGATTTTAATTGCGTATGCAGCTATCTAGCTATGACACAATATCAAAGAAAAGTACAGAATAAATGACTCAACGTAAAGGAAGAGCACTCATGCCTCGGATTTCATTTGCAAGTACCACTGCGAAGTTATGGCGGCTTTTTCTTCACCCCAAGTCAACCCTCATCCATAAATACCCACCCAGGGAAACGTCTCAAAACCCCTGAGTTATCCAGACATGCCTCCATCATCCATGGACTATTCTCCGCACGAAATATGGTCTTAAGTGTCTCCTTTGCAAGTGGATTAGGTGCCCAGGCTACTCAAACCATACCAGAGAACACCACCAAGAGGCGGACCACGGCACCTTCCATCGTTGACTTGTGCTTATAGTGTCAGCTGCACTCTCGCAAGCGAAGTCTTGGCGCGCACAAAGCTCAATTCGTAAAACTCTTGCCAAAATTCGAAATTTCACGCCCGTCGAAAATGTATCCCTCTTCTGCATCATCTTGTAAACTTGTCCTGATTCCTCTCACGTCCATCCCAATAAACTGTCTTCTAGATTTGTGCGCCACGCTTTGCTTCCTCCGTCGGGTGTAGATATCGGCGTGAGCGTTTATTTGGTGGTCAACTGAGGCCAGAAAAGGTCGAAGGGCGGTGTGGTCATTGGAATAAGGATGTACTTGGTCGTACTTGTAGGCTTGATGAGACTTAGGTAGGATTCGATCTCTTTGGGAGTGAAAAACGACGTGGAGGAGTAATTTGAATCATTGCCTTGTGGGCAAACTTCTTTGATATTGCGAAATTTGAATGAACTTGCCTCTGGGAGAATATTTCACTCTCAGGTTCGTAGAGGACACGGCGTACAGGTGTTCAGTCTTGCCCTCCGCCAGCGAGGTCATTAATATACCAGAAGAAATAATGCATGATAACGAGAAATACACCTAATTCTCATCATCATAAACACATGTAGTCATGGTACAAGAACCATGCACCTTGCTAAAAGACGTAGAGTTCACTACTAAATTCCACCCCGGCTTTGATAGCTTTGAACTCTTTGGAAATATAGCACCACAATTGCGACCACGCGCCATCACTTTTATGAGAAAAGGAACCGAGGCTACTCAAATAACACCCTCGATAACAAGCCAGAACTCAGGCTACTGTTTCGTGCAAGCTGGTGGACTGACATTTATAAATGTCTATCGTACTCCAGGCCGCAGCGGGACTTTGAAACCATTGTTAAGCTGGAAGCCGAGTGGTCCGGTAGCAGTGGGGGACGTCTTCAACTTTGTCTCACAGTACTGGTAGCTTTTAACAAAGCGCCAATATGGAAACGGGGATCTTATCATGGGGTGGGCTCGTAGAAATAATCTGCAGCTATTAAACACCCTAGGGAAAAGTACTCATCGCGATGGAAATGTGCTGGATTTAACCTGGAGTAACACGATGGTATTCGCATCAGTTTCAACTCGGTTCGACTGTAAATCAGACCAGTTTACTATTGAAGGCTCAGTCGACAACCTGCATTTTCAGAGCTATCTAGGATTCTACGACTAGTAGGCGTGAAAGACTGTGATCTAGAAGAGTTTTCTCTATGCGTGAAGCAATGGGTAATACATGGGCCCCTTATTAGTCAAATCGAAATTGAAAACTACACAAGGAATTTGATTCAAGTTCTTCAAAACGCGGTCAAAGTGTAGGATAGGTACCCGCAATAGGCAGAGGAAAAACAGCACCCTGGTGGACTGATGACTGCAAAAAGCGACATACTGACTATAGGATAGCTAAAGCTTTATCTGAAAACGTAGAACTAACACGAAAGGCGTTCGGAGCAACAGTGAAGGCAGCAAAACGCGAATTCTGGACAAAAAAAGTCGAGGCAGCACAGGCAGAAACTCAAGTGTTTAAACTGATGCGATTGGTCAAACCTAAGGCGGCAAAGGAACCTCCTCCCCTACAGGTATCATCCAACCAGTGGCTTTCAGATCCACTAGAGCGGACGATTGCACTGCAGGACTCCCTCCTTGCAAGGTATGAGGCGAGAAACGATACTGATGCATGGGAGGATGGTCAACCAGAGCGTGTTCCATGGACCGGAGAGGTTTCACCGGAAGATATCACAGCAGCACCTAGTGGGAGTAAAGAAACCGCCCCGAGTTTCGACATGATTACCGTCCGACTTCGCAAAGCCTCTTGGAAGAGGATAGGAACTTTTATCAGGGATCTCTTCCAGGCTTGTCTGAACTTGAAATATTTTCCGGCACCTTATAAGGTGGCTGAAGTCGTGCTACTTCCAGATCCAGGCCGCGACCTTGTCAGCTCAAAGGGATGGCGACCAATATCACTACTTTCCTGTTTAGGTAA